ACGGTCTTCCGCTTGGCGTGTTCCGTGTAGGTGACGGCGTCGCGGATCACGTTCTCCAAGAAGACCTTCAGCACGCCGCGAGTCTCCTCGTATATCAGGCCGGAGATGCGCTTCACGCCGCCGCGCCGGGCGAGCCGTCTGATGGCCGGCTTCGTGATGCCCTGGATGTTGTCGCGAAGGACCTTGCGATGACGCTTCGCTCCCCCTTTCCCCAATCCCTTGCCGCCTTTGCCTCTGCCTGTCATCGTGTCGGTTGTTGCTGGGCTTCTTTCTTTCTGAATGAATGAATGAACGAACGAACGAACCGTTTACGGGTTTTATTTAGACGGTAACTGAGCGAGAAACGGTCCCGGACCGGTATTTATGCCGGGCCCGCTCGACTCCGCCTCCGCCGCTCGCCGTCCGCCAATCGCGCCTCTTCCGCAACGTCAGCCTATTTAAGAGCCGGACCGGACGACCTGCAGCATCAAATTACAGCCCAGCAGACGTAACGGTAAGCTACTTATAAACATTATCACTAACCTACAGATCACTAGGGACCGAGTATGCAACGTCCCAGTGTCTTAACACAACCCCTTACTGTACTAAAACCGCTAACAACAACCTACTCTCACACACACACGCACTCATTCGAGCAAACACACACGCACACACGCACTTAATACCGAACATCGAAATGGACACTCCTGCTAGTTTTCCTTTCTCTGACCGTCTACCGAGACAACAAGGCAGTGGTTACCTCCCGTGACCCTGACATTGTTAAAAAACTTAACCCCATCCGATCCTAAAAAAAAAAAAAAAGAGTAGGCTCGCCATACCACATCGAACCTTCGAGCCGATCAGATGTACTCCGATCATCTTATAATCAGCAGCAACTTCATCAGAACTACTACCAACGGACTTCCTACTGTGCAGCCTAGTTCCTGTATTCGTTCGATAGCCGTTGCACATTACTTTCCAGCTTCTTCGTTGAGTCGTGCAGAGTAGAGTAAGAATAATTTTTATTATCCAACTAACAAACAGTCATAGGGACCGAGTACGCAACGTCCCTTTGATATTAACAAATTACCCTGTCAACCAACTAACTAAGTAATAAACACAAACACAAACAGATACACACAAACACACGCACTCAATTCACCTCTTCAAGGCCGCCGACTGAAACGACTTAACTCTTTTTTCTTGCCGTTCTCATTAACTTTTGTTTTTTCAAAAAAAATGCAACGGAAGATGGACACCTCCACACCATCAACATCTAAACGACCCACTCCTGAATCCCCTGTCGAAGAACAGCCGTTTAACACCGTAAACCGCCGGCGGACTCGTTCGTTCGACTCCCAATACACATCCCCTACTAGCTCCCCTTCATCCCCTAGAACCCCAACTAGATCCCCTTCCCTCTCCGACACCGATAACCTTTACGAAGCTACCATAACAAACATCCCCGAAAAATATTCTAACCAAAAAGACCTCTTCGGACTCCTGAAATCCATACCAACCCTGTTATTCCTTTCACTAACTGTATTTAGTTGTAACAAAGCCAAGATAACCTCTAAAGACCCGCAGATATTCAAAAAACTCCTGACTCTCCGATCCCTAATATCCGAAAAAATAACAATCCAACCTAATCAACCTAACCGAGATTCCAACTCCCAATCCCAATCCCCTAGACTACACAAACCAACCTTTTGCTGTGTAGTTTTATCCGTAGACCACAACATAGTAGCGACCGACATCCTCTCGGCCCTACAAAACCAGAACATCCAGGCCAAGAACGCTTGGCGTATCAAATCCCGAAAAACCGGTCAAGACACTTTCCTTTTCCGGATTATATCCAATTGTCCCAAATCCATCGACAAACTCTTTTCTAAGGGGTTCACTATGTTCTCCAAAACCTACCGTTGTGTCCCATCCCAATCTCCTGGCCCTCAGCCTTTACAATGTGGCAAATGTTTTGCATTTGGCCACAACACAACTTCCTGCGTCCAACGGGAACCACTTTGCTACCGTTGCGGCGACAAGCATCCTTCCCAATCCTGCAAAACCTCCACTCCTAGCTGCGCCAACTGTAAAGGCAATCACCTTGCTTTTGATTCAAAATGCCCAAGCCGCCCCTCTCCTAAATCCTTAACACCAGCTAAAACCGCACCCGTCAAATGCGTAGACACCCTCGCTGACGCATTGTCCGAGGAAGAACAAACCGATTCGGCATCGTCTGATACTCCCGAACCTGAACGATTCAGGGTCGAGGATGCTATCAGATTCACATTTCTATGCTTCGACTCCCTAACTCCCAACTCCAAACTCGTCCGACAGATGATAGCCTATCACGCCGCCCAATTTTTCCACAGGAAAGTTTCCTACGTCGAAAAAGGAAACAAAGTCCACATTTCGATAACCCGCATACCTCCTCGCTCCCGTCACTAAACATTAACAAATCCACAACAACAATGACCCATCCCCGTTGCATATAAATAATGAACATTAAAATTAGCACGGTAAATGCATGCAGCTGGAAGCGAAAAAGAAACAATATAATACACACTTTACACACAGACGCGATACATATTCTTGCGGTTCAGGAAACACTGAGCAAAGCAAAAGAAACCTTCTCCATCAATCGCTATAAAGTGTTTAGATCTGAGAAAAACACAACTAAAAGGGGAACTTCACTTATAGTTCACCAAACAATCGCTTCCAGCCAATTTCAAATACCAATACAGTTTCAACATATAGATGCATGCGCAGCGACAATCCACACACGATACGGGGATATCACAATATTTTCATATTACAATAGCCCGACAACTAAACTCTCGACAGACTTCATAACATACATTTCCAACCTTCCAAGAGCCGTAGTTCTAGGAGATTTAAACGCAAGACACACGTCCTTTGGGGATACCTCCACAAACCGCAACGGCCGTATTCTCGCGAACGCTCTCCTGTCGCTTAATCTCTTCAGAATCAGAAATACAAACCCTACCTTCAGTAATTACAGGGGATCCTCAATCCCAGATCATATTATCTGCACCGACAGGCTAGCACCGATCTTCGCACACACCTGCCACATAGGCACGTCAATAACTAGCGATCACCAAACCCTGTCAACTACAATGCAGATTCAGACGCCGCAAATTACGCTACCAGCATACAAAGAAATACGCGACTACAAAAAAATCAACTTTAATAATCTCCGAGAGCAAATATCAAACGCGAATTTAACTCCGCCAATAATTCATAACGCCGCCGATATAGATAACGCGATTGAAATATATAATCTTACTGTCCAAAACGCCGTCAATGAAACCACACCTTTAAAACGTATATATATCGGTAGAAAACCGTTACCACCGGAAATCGTCAAAATTATAAAAAGGAAGCGCGAACTATATAGACTTTTCATCAGAACACGCGACCCACTCGTTAAAACAGAATGGAACAGGTTAAACGCCCTAGTCCGCCGCGAAGTCAACAACCATCAACAAAAAAGATGGCACGAATCCTGTTCAAAATTAAATTACCACAACGGCTCCCAATTTTGGAACAAATTTAAAACAATAACTGGACAAAAAACAACTCCCATCAGCCACTTGATCATCAATAACCAAATTTATAACACACCCGCTGAAAAAGCAAGCGCGTTCGCGGATACACTTGAATTACTTCACACCACACACGCGGCCCCACAGCATGACGCGGCACACATTAGATCTGTAAATTTACACACCACACAAATACTTCAAACAGCATGCTACACACAACACAACATTATACGCGAAATTACTTCGGAAGACATAACAAACACTTTCGCGAAACTTAAAAACAATTCACCGGGAGAAGATGGAATAACAAACAGCATCATTAAAAACCTACCGCCTTCAGCAATAGAATATCTAACCCGCATTTACAACGGCATACTTACAACCGCATATTACCCCACAACCTGGAAAAGCGCGAACATAATAATGATACCAAAACCAGGAAAAAACCATATAGACGCGAAATCATAACGCCCTATCTCCCTAGTAAACAACTCCGGAAAAATATTCGAATGTATTATCGCGTCCCGACTAACCGAATACTGCAAACACAACAATATCATCCCTAATTCACAAACAGGGTTCCGAAAGGGACGATCCCCCCTTGACTCTGTCCTAAAACTCCAATCTGAAGTAACTTCGTACATAAACACAGGCGGCTGCACACTTGCAATCGCTTTAGATTTCGAAAGAGCTTTCGACACTGTATGGCATAACGGTCTCTTGTACAAATTACTTCAGATTAACCTACCACCACACTTCGTGAAAATAATACACTCCCTTCTAACAAACAGACCTTCCCGAATTAAAATCGGTAATACCTTCTCGCGAACCTTCTCACTTAATGCAGGAGTACCACAGGGCACAGTGCTCGCCCCGCATCTATACAACATTTTCTGCTACGACCTACCCCAACCTATCGAAAACACCGTTAGCCTGTGTCAATACGCAGACGATACTGCGTACTGGGCTAACGGCTTAACCTCCGACTCCTGCAACAACAAACTAAAACGTCAAATAAAACTCCTAGAACACTGGCTCAACAAATGGCGATTAAAACCAAACCCGGATAAGTCACAATTAATACTATTCACACATGATAGGTACACGTGCAAACCCACACTTTCACCCGACCATATTAACATTCGAATTTGCAACACCCGCTTACGACTACAAAAAGAAATAAAATACCTGGGTATAACACTCACGCACACTATGAACCCACACAAGGATCTAGCAATAACACTAGACAAAGTTCGTAAGCGGGCAAACCTTATTTCTCTCATAAACGGGACTATACAATCATGTAACACAGAAACACTGCTCCACACATACAAAACTTTCGTAAGACCATTAATCGATTACCGAGCAGTCTCATTAACAAACATATCCGACAGTCAATTAGAAGTCCTCCTCGCCACCGAAAGAGGAATCCTAAGGAAAATCGCCAGACTAGGAAGGTTCTTCCCTTCACAAGACCTGTACAACATCGTAGATATCCCACCCATCACAGACCGTATCGTCACACTACAAACTAAATTTGTGAAAAGGGCCATACAAACGAATAACCCCATCACCACACGGACACTTACACAACCTCCCCGCAGAATAACCACCAAACCCAAACAAAAAGTCACTTTCCCTCCCGCCCGACTCCTGTCCATTACCCCAGATCTCCCCGATGATTTCATCGATCACCTTAATTCCCTACCCAACTCCATCAGATAACCACGAAACCAACCCAACTAAACACAAACACACACACAAGTAACACACACAAAAAGTCACAAACCTCATAACAGAACTACACATATGGCTGAAGAGGACCAACTACACTGGTCCTAAAACGGCCTGAGGTAGAGGGGTTTTAGTTGGTAGGCGCTCCTTCAGAGTGAATCCAACACTACCCTGTCGTTCGGACGGCAGGGTGTCTTTTGAAGATTTCCCCTCTTCCACGAAAACATAAAAAAAAAAAAAAGAGTAGGCTCGGTTTCGGCGGCTGGCGGTCGACGGGTGAACGTCGCTCTCGTCTCGGAAGGCGGAAGGGCGGCGGCGGTAACAATTTCCAACAGCCGTTTCCCGCACACGGATCGACGAGAGAACGACGGTTTCGTCAAAGCCGGCAAACGCGCTAATAAGCGCCGCCGACAACACCCTTTCTTGGTCAATCGGTGTTGCCTGCATCACCGAAACTCACCTGTCCGAAAAAGTCAAACTTTTCGTCCCAAACTTCTCATCCTACAGAAGGGACCGGGATCATGCCAGAGGCGGCGGTGTCGCCATTCTTGTCAGGAATTACTTAAAGCATAGGCCTATCTCTTTGGCCGCAAACTCGTTAGAGACAGTCGGCATCGAAATTTCGTTAACCACCGGCCCTCTTAGGATTATCTCTCTCTACTCCCCTCCTTGGGACAGAGACCTTTCTGAGCTCCCCCTTCTACTCCCCTCAGGCGTTCCAACAATCGTCGCAGGCGATTTCAACGCCAAACACGTTTCGTGGGGTTGTCGACAAACCAACAATAAAGGCACCTTCCTTCTTACCAAAATTCTTGACTTCAACCTCACAGTTGAAGCACCCTCTGACCCCACATTCCTCCCTGCCCCCCACCATCTATTCCCTGACATTCTTGACATTTTCGTCACGAAAAATGTCACACTTTCCGCCGATCCTATCGTCTTAGACGCATTAAGCTCGGACCATCTCCCAGCCCTTATTGAAGTCGGCCGCCCAATCCTCAACCCCCCAAACCCAACCACGTCACTAGACTGGTTGCACCTTCGTTACACCCTGGAAAAATCTTCATTCAAGTGCACTCCAATTCGCACAATAGCGGAACTTGACGAAGCTGTGAATCTCCTGTCAAACGAGATTACCAGCGCAGTCGAGCTCTCCACTACCTCCCGCCCAACGCCCACCAAAGACAGAACCCTCCCAGCAGACATCCTTGACCTCCTTAAGAGGAAAAACAAGGCCCGACGTCTGTGGAATAAATACCGCGTCCCCGCCCAACGTGCAGAGGTAAACGCCCTTCAACGAGAACTAAAAACTCGTCTAACCGAATTCCGCAGCGCATCCTTCGACGACTATATCGCTCAGGCAGAAAAACATCCACGAAGCACCTGGAAAGTGATCCGTTCCCTTCGTAACAGAGCTCCCCATCTTCCGCCCCTTAAACAGAACGGCTCCACCTATTCCTCAGACGAAGAAAAAGCTGCAATCTTCGCAGACTCTTTGTGTCTCCAGTGCTCCCCACTACCAAGCCCAGTGGATCTTGCCGACTTTCACGAGCGTACCAAAGCCGTCTCCCAGAACTTCGTTCCCCTGAATTCCGACTTCAAACACACGTCCCCACGAGAAATCTTTCTCATTATCCGCTCTCTAAAAAAGAGAAAAGCCCCTGGCGCTGACGGAATTGCTAACGGAGTCCTTAAAGTCCTGCCACCAAAGCACATAACCGCACTGTGCAACATCACAAACGCCATCATGCGGCTCCACCACTTTCCTTTGGTCTGGAAAGAAGCCACTGTCATCTGTCTCCCCAAAAAAGGGAAGCCGCTCAGCTCTCCCTCAAGCTACAGGCCCATCAGCCTGCTCAGTTCGCTGAGCAAAGTAGTAGAATCCGTCCTTCTCGCTCGGCTCTTAGACCACGTGGAGCAAAACAACCTTCTCCCTGATTTTCAACACGGTTTCCGCAGGCAACACGGCACCGGACACCAACTTCTTCGTGTTACTGAACACATCTCCGACAACCTCAACAAGCGGCGTCACACTTCCATGCTCCTTCTTGACGTCCAACAAGCCTTCGACCGAGTCTGGCACGAAGGTCTCATTTCCAAACTTATCGCCCTTAACATCCCACACTTTCTAGTTGGGGTTATCAGGTCCTTCCTCACAGACAGAAGCCTTCGGGTCCGCGTTGGCTCTGCTCTTTCTGCCAGTAAACCCGTCACAGCCGGTGTCCCACAAGGCTCCAAACTATCCCCTATTCTGTTTAACCTGTTTTGCGCGGACATCCCCTCCCACACTTCATTTCTGACTGCCCTGTACGCTGATGACATTGCTATCATAAACCCTTCAAGCACCATTCTCCAATGCACAGCAAGAATCAATAGGTTTCTACCCCAGCTCCTAAACTGGTATCGGAAATGGAAACCTTCCATTAACGAGACCAAATCGGAGGCAATTTTCTTTTCCCGTAGGCTCCGAAAACCTCCCTCCATTATTGTCAACAACCGCCCCATCAAATGGAGCACCTCTGTCACGTACCTAGGCGTCGTTTTAGACAGATGCCTAAACTGGCGGCCTCACATTAAAGCGACACGCAACAAGGCTCTGGGTGCATTCATCGCACTCAAACCTTTCTTTCGAAACAACACCATCTCCCAACAGACCAAAATCCGTGCGTTAACGCAATTATCAGGAGCATTTGTTCCTATGCTATTCCCGTCTGGGGCTGCGCCCTTCCCCACCGCCTGAAAGCCTTGCAAGGCACTTACATGCGGATTCTTCGCTCCGCATTAGACTATCCCTGGTTCGTCAGAAACACACAAATTCTGACTGAAACCGGTTTACCTTCTCTCCCTGATGCTGCAATCACATTCGCGGCAAATCTCCGGGCCTCAGTGTCAGGCCACCCAAACCCCACCATCTCGGCACTCTCCAACTTCGCACCGAAACCCAACGACCGTTTCCGAAGGCCCTGTCACCTTCTACAATGAGCCGCTCCCCTTTCGCTCACTTCTTGTTCCCTAGTTTCGCTTTTTAGCGCGAGTGTCCATCCAGTACATCAGAGATGGACCACCTACTTCGGTTTCTTTCCCAACACTCCCCTCTACCCACACTTTTAACCCATTCCCCATCTCAACCTTATCCTTAATCCCAAGCTTTCCACTTTTCTCCCGGGATGAAGAATCCACAGGATTTACCTCCCCGCTCGAGGAGGGGTTTTAGTCGGTAAAAATCCGACACTACCCCCCTTCAGGGGGTGTCTTTTGAAGATTTCCCCTCCTCGAGCATAATCTAAACAAAAAAAAAAACAAAAAAAAAAAAATAAACTAAACCAGGGACGTAGCCACCTTCATTTTGCATGGGTCAAAGGTGAGCCACATAGTTGTAGATTTTAAGTCCCATATGACCCATGACGCCTTTTAAGTTCTTCAAATATAAAAACGGTAAACCATAAGTATATGCATAGTAGTACATACCTCTAAATGCCTTGGGCTCCCTGCAGTCTCCACTTTTCCATTGGCATTCTCGGAAGTGCCCAGGGCTCCGCGATCAACGGGGTTCTCTAATTTCTGCCAGATCCATTTACCAGTCGAAAACCAATATTTATTACCGATAAATATTTTCATTTTCAGAAAATCAACTATTAATTACAAAACAAAATTGAAGACACATTTCCAAATGTAGAAAGTGTATTCAAAATCTTTTTAAGCATGGTGATAACTGAGGAGCGCTTTTTTTCCAAATTGAAAATAATAAAAAATGAATTAAAAAGTACAACGCTTCAAGAAAGATTGACGTACGTCGCTGATGTCTATAGAATGTGATGTACTGAAAGACATATACTTTGAGAAACTGATTGTCAATTTTGCTTTTATCAAAATTTTTCAATCAATATAAAATTTTAAGCACTAACCTGTAAATGTTTCGAATCATATTACAATTAGC